GAAACATGGGACTTTCCGTGCTAAGACTGGGAAGTCCCAGGCAAACCAGGGCGAACTGGTCACCCTCCACTAGACTAGCCAGTCTAATTTACTTTTGTGATACAGTGACTATACTGATGGTCCCCAGGAATGCCACAAACTCGCTGTATCCAGACTTCAGCTCAGCCTCCCACAGCCTGCCTTGCCGACCTTCCAGATGACATGCAGAAATGAAAGCTGCAGGGTAATATATTTAGGTGGTTGGTGGGTGGCTGAGTGAGCAGACCAGACTCGCTGTTTCCTGGACCAGCATCAGCTGGAAGGAAGGCTGTGATGGCGAGCACAGAGCTGTGTCCTGGCCGAGGTCTGCTCCACAGTCTGTGTGTGCCACGGATGGGGACATAGTGGCAGGATGAAACCTGCCAGTGGCATGAACTTGTGAGGAAAAACTCATGTGCACAACAGTTGGGCTGGGTTTTGACATCGCATCAACAGATCGAAATGGTAGGCCCAAAGTAAGAGCTTAAAATGTTAACAGAAATAAATATAGTTTTTTATTTAGAGTTAAAAAAAAAAAAAGTGATCCTAAATGTAAAGAGCTTAATAGCTGTTTTATTTGCCTTAAACCTGGCATGTTCAGGTGCCCACACACTGGGTCTAGTCCAGATACCCCTTAGGCTGTGTTAACAGGCATTCAGAGCTGGGATGCGGGCAGGGGACAATTCCACTGCACTCCCTCCTGGTCAGTGTGTTCAGCTCTGTACGCAGGGAGAGGCCACTCCTCCTCATTCGCGGGGTTTCCAGCCACCTGCAAAGTACCTTTCTGCCCTCTCCACGGTGGCTGTGTCCCTGCTGAGGCATCTCTCTTTCCAGGAGAAAGCAGACCACCACCTCCCTTCCTGTGGACTCCTGGTGGTGTAACAATTAAGCGCTCAGCTGCTATCCAAAAGGTTGGCCCTTCAAACCCACCCAGCAGCTCTGCAGGAGAAAGACCTGGCGATCTGCTCCCGTAAAGATTACAGCCTAGAAAACCCTATGGAGCAGTTCTACTTGTCACATGGGGTTGCTATGAGTTGAACTCAACCCCATGGCACCTAACAACAACCCCCTTCCTCTCCCCATCTCACCTAACTTCTCTAGGGGGAGCTGACATGTTCAGGACCTGGGGATTCGGTTGAGAGCCAGATTAAATCAGCATCACTGACGTTTTCCCCCCAGGAGAGGGGTTCATTTTCAAGGACTCAGCAGCTGGAAACTCCAGGAAAGCTAGGAAATAGTGGGGCAGCTAGAAACTGGGTACATGGAGCCTGGAAGCCAGAACCCCATTCTCACGCTTGGGCATTTTCCCCATTTCCCAGGGCTCACAGCTTCCAATCACTCTTTCCAGGTTTCCTGTCTGTAACCCAGGTGTCTGAGGGAAAGCAGGGTAGGCAAAGAGGTCAATGGGGGCAGAACAGGGGTGGGGTCGGGACACTCTTCCCCTTTCTGTCTTCCAACCTCAGGCACACATAAAAGTATTTTGACCTTGAGGCATCTAAGGCCCTGGGCCCTCTAGATCTGTTATGGATTGAGTTGCGTTCCCCCAAAATATGTGTTGGAATCCTAACCCCTATACTTGGGGATGTACTCCTGTCTGGGGATAGGGTTTTCTTTGTTATGGTAATGAGACCACCAGAGTAGGGTGTGTCCTAAACCTAATCGCTTCTGAGTTATAAAGAGCAGATTAGACACAGAGGCACACACAGGGGAAGACAGATAGCCTATGAGGATCGCCCAGGAACCGAGAAACGCCGGGAGCTACTGATGATGAAGGAATTGACACGGCCAAAACCCTGATTTGGACTTGTTGCCTCCAGAACTGTGAGAAAATACATTCTGTTCCTTAATGCCACCCACCTGCGGTGTCTGTTACACCAGCTCTAGGTAACTAAGACAAGGGCCAGCAGGGGTCACTGTTCTGGTTGCTACTGACCACCCAGGGGCTCTTAGGGAAGTCCTGGGGTGCCAGCAGAGGTGGTGATGGGCGAGGGCTACAAGGCTCCACAGGTCCTTCCAGGGACTCTGGGTGCTCATTTCAGGGAACAGCACTTTGATTTTTCGTGCTGTGTGGGTCAGCCCAGAAAGGCGGCACCTGCTGATCGTCCCAGAGGGAAGGAGACAAACTGATTTTGGGCTCGTTTTCCGTGATCTGCCCAGGCCCTGCCCTGCCTCTTCCCCACCGAGACCTGGATAGTGGAGGATGGGTGCTCCCCTCAAGGCCAGCAAAC